CCCGTCTGTTAAATGGGGACAACAGGACCTACCTCCTGGGCTGACCTCCCAGAATGTCACAGGAATCAAAGGCAAGAGAGCCATGAAAATGCTTGAGGGGGCAGGTGGCACTTACACGATGATAAGGAACCGTTCATTCCTCTTCCCACAAAAAGATGACCGAAAGAACCATCACCAAATGCATGGCAGTATATCAAGTGAGCCTTACTTTCTTTGACTTTTATATATCACTGAACTGCTTTGCAAAAAGTGCATGCTATTTACACTTAGGAATTCATTGCTACCATCCTCTCATATCACCATTAAGGGCCATAGGGCTCTCAGTACCCAGTACCTTCCATCAGCAAACACAAGCCTGCACAGCACAGTCCTCTGGCAATGGGGAAGAGGCACTGTGCCCTGGGTTTATACCAGGTGACCCTGCAAGGGCACAGGCCCCCTGCACGAAGAGCTTTGTTTGGCCAGAAGCCCACCAAGCTGAGCTGGGCCCAACCTCCCCCTGGCCTTTGGAAGGCTTGGACCAGGAAGTGTGGCTCTGGCCCAGTGTCGTGCCCTGGAACACTAGGATGGGTATGCAGGAGCTGAGGGGAGGCCTGGAGCTCCAGAAGTCCCCTTTCAGTCCCAGGTTGAGGGATGAGTAACTCTCCTGCCTCCCTAGGGTGAGGCCCACAGAATCCAGGAAAGACAAGCTGCAATGTGGTGGCCAAGCCTGCCCCCTGCTGGCTAGGTCTGGAGCAGCAGCGCCAGCCACTCAGGGCAGGGCTCCCAGGCAGCTACACAGGCCCCCAGACCCAGGACCAGCTCAGCCCAGGTGCCCAGAGGCAAGGACAGAGTGGGATGGGGCTCTGGTGGGCCCAACTTCCAACTCCCATGTCTCTTGCCTTCACCGGGTGGGCCATCTCCTGGCGTTTCCCGATTGCTGCCACAAGGAGTGGAAAGCCAGGGGTGTGCTGGAGGGAGGTGGATGGGGGGGGCTCCATATTCCTGCCTCTGTCTCACTCCTCCCAGGCCCATTCATGCCTCCTGGGCAGCCAAGAGAAACCAGGGCTGCTACCACTGCCCGGATTTCCACTCCCGCCCCCAGGTATTGATTTCCTGCATCATTCATTTGCCAGGCCTTGGCAGCTGTGATTAGCTCCCTCCACTCTCCCTACGGAGCCCCCTGCCCGGCCCTCCATGTTCCAGCAAAGCAGAGCTAATACCAGGCTCTAAATGAGGCTTTGCCACCCTGGCCCCAGCAACTCACAGCCGGGCCTGGCCAATTACGTGCAGGCCCTTGGATATCCCAGCCTGGGCCCTCCAGGGGCTCTCCTGCTAATAAAACCCCTCTCCCCCTGAGAGCTTCCACCCACCCGTGAAGCCAGTGACCAGCCTGAAGTATAGGAAGGGACATCCTGGGGAATCTTGAACCCCAGAGGGCTCTCTGGCCTCACACCACAAGCCTGGGAGCCCTGGGGCTGGCTCAGGAGCTAGCATCAATTTGGGGGTGTGCACAATGCTGGCAAAGCAAACAAAACAGCCTGGACTCATGGCCACAAAGCTCTTTCTCTCTGTCCCTTGTGCAATGTCTGGAGCCGAGATGGAAGAAGGAACAGGGGCAGGAACCTTCCTGAGGACATTCAGGAAACCCAGAGCCTTCTGCTAGCCCTAGGGGACCAGCTGTGGGACTCAATGCCTTCTCCAGGGAAGAAGGAGCCAGATGTGAACAGCCAGATTCAAGGCAGAGGGGAGAAACGCTAGTGAAAAATCCCAAGTGCCCACACCCAGATCAACCCCCAGAAGAGGACACCGGGAGACTCACTTCCTGAAATTCCTTCCCCGCACTCCCCAGAAGAGGGGAAAAAACCTGACTTGGTGATAATTCTGTAAGCTATGTTGCTCTTGTCAAATTATTCAACATCTGTCTTCATGTTCCCACAAAAATTAGCATAGGATAGTAGTTTCTGATGACACCTTTGGTGAAATATTTTGACTTCTACCAGTAAGTTGCAAACAACCTGTCTTAAGGATAATGTCAATTCCCACTCCTGCATATTAAATAATCCAGGGGCTTCTTGTGTTTTTGTGAGTGAGAGGAATCCCACCGACCTGCCCCTGGCTGGAAGTCTGGCTGCTCTGAGAGGATTCGGGACAGAAGAGGGGGTGTTCTCAGCACCGAGGATATTGCTTCTCCATCACCTAGCTACTGTCTTGCCCCAGAGCGAGGCCTCTGTGGTCAGCCCAGTACCCTGGCCTGCCAGAAAGCAGATTACAGGATCCACCCGCACGACAGCAAACTGGCCCAGGAGATCGGGAATCGAGGAGGGAGGGAGATCGGCTCCAAACAGACCATCTGGTCCGGCACTCGGCTGCTGTAGCATCTGTGCCCCAAAGAAAAGGGAAGCCACCTGGCCAGAATGAGTGTCTCCCCAGCCCTCCTGAAGACAGCAAAGCTCAGAGCAGGCGCGGACCACAGCGAAAGCAGGGCCTAGGGCTCTAGGCACCTGCCTCCCACCGGCCCAGGCCAGATGCTGCCAGGTTGGGCCCATGTTGTCCTTCCTCTCTTCCATTCAGTCTCCTTACTGACCTGGCCCTCCTTAGCCCCACAGGCCTGGGGACAGAGAGGCAGAGCCCAGGCTCCCTCTCTGGGACACATGTTATTCTCCAGTGCCTTGAGTACAACACACTGACTGCCACCCTCCTCGCTGCCAGGGCAACACGGGGCTGCCAGCCTGTCCTCTTTTTGAGGATTTCATGACGCACCCTCTCTAAGCAGAATCCTTCCACAAAGCCCCGCTGCCCTGCTGGAAACCAAGCCCTAGAGAGTCTTCTTGGGGAGAAAGAATTCCAAGAAGCTGTTCAACCTCCCCCAGGCATGGCCCTTCATTCATTCAACAAATACCTGCCATGCTCCCGAGGTGTGTGCCAGGCACCACGCTGGGGGCTGCCTGCAGCGGGGACAGGGACTGCAGTGGCCGTCCGGCCCCACCTGCTACCCGCACTCTTCCCCAAGCCCTTCATCTGCTTTGGGGGTGGGAGCATAAGAGTGAACCCCAGCTCTCCATCCCACTTCTTAGACCAGCCCCCAGCCTACACAGGCGCCCTCGTCACTCTACCTGCCCGGTAATGTGGCATCGAAGGGCACTCAGCAGCCGGGCATGGTCCTGCTCCTGCTTCTGTTAGACCTTTCCCTCTCCATCCGCCTTGATAAAGACTTCCCACCCCTTGGTTCCCCTACGGCCCCAAGCCAAGCTCTCCAAGGGAAGGTGGAGAGAATGTCACTCAAAGAGCCAGGGCTTGTCTTGGCACACCAGCCCTCTTTGATTTGTACTGAGTGACAACAGCTGGGACTGGACACATGCAAGGAGGTAGAGAGAAGAGGTCAGATAAGCCCATGAGTCTACAGAGACTTTCATTTCAGAGAGCCCACCCTAGTCCCTGACCCCCACACTCACTGTTGGAGGATTTCTAGGCCAGGCCCGGAGCAGCCTTGCAGAAGGCTGTAGGAGCTGGAGGGGAGAGGGAGGCATGGTCCCTGAGCTGAGCTGGCAGACTTGCCCAAGGGCACAGGGAGGGAGCTGTCCACGGAGGACACAGGGTGAGGGGGCTCCCTGAGCCCCTGAGGAGGAAGCACCAGACTCAGCAGCATCCCTCTTGGGCACCTCGAAGGAGGCAGTGGAGCTAGAGGGAATCCTTGGGGAAGAAGAAAGAGGAATCCCTGGGTCACTGGTGTCTTCCTTCATCCTAAGGAGCCAAACCCTCCAGGATAGGGTCAGTGCCACCTCCCCACAGCCCAGCCTTGCTGCCTGGTGCCTGCAGCTTCCCTCCTTCCTGCCTCTTCTGGCCTCTGTGAGGGGCCAGGCGGCCAGAGACACACAAACTAATTAAGAAGCAGAGTTTGGCCAGATGCCTGGGCCCTTCTCACCAGGGAATTCAGCCTAAGCCAGCTAGCTGTGAAAGGCAGGAGCAGGCCCCTTCCCAGACCCCCAGGCACAAGAAGACAGATCAGGGTCCTTCCAGAGGGAAGCATTTGGCACCTGAAGCTGGCAGCCAGCGGACACTGCCTCTGCCATCCTACACAGCACAAGACAAACTCTCCCCAGATCTAAGGAGGAATAATCAGGCCCTCAGCCCCAAAGAGGGAATGAGAATCCTGCCCACCCCAGCCACACATTAAAAAGTGATCTACGGAGAGGAGGAGGAGGAAGCAGAGGAAGGGCCGTGGACCCTGTAGACGACTTGGGTCACAGCACGGTGGGAGGGGTGAACCTGGGTGACACTGACCGGCTGACCCCTGTTCTTGGGGTCTTCCCGGGGAAAACCCACGGGATGGGATGGAGAAGGGTCGGAGCCCTGCGTGGGGACGCAGGAGCAGAGCTGCGCGGCAGGAGGCAGAGTTTGGCCACGTCGCCCGCCCTATGGGTGCGTGCCGTGTACGCGTTTGCTGGGGACGGTGGCTGGTGTGTCTGTGTCTGCAGGCAAGGAGAAGGAAGGTGGGCCTGGGGGACCAGGGACGGGAAGAACCGGCTCGGCAAAGGTCTGAAAGGTCTGCTGGGGTGGGGAGGGCCCGAATCCACCCCACTGTCACAGAGGGAGCAGGGTCAGCAAAGCCGCAGCGCCCGCAGGCGGGCGGAAGGCGAGCCCGGGCGCAGTCGCGCACAACTCCGGATCCAGCGGCGCTCGCTTCCCCTCCGGAAGCTGAGCCAGAGGACGCGGTCTCTGCGCAAGTAGCTGCTCCAGCCCGGTGCGACCCCACTGGGCTCCAAGTCACTCCTGCACCTGGCAGGACCTGGGAAGGCGGGTACCTCCCCCTGGCACCCCCAGTTTCACACCAGACCCTATACGACCCTATACGCCGAGGCCACCAGCTCGGTCCCCTCGCGCCCGAGGGGGGCGGGACGCGGTATCCACTCCGAGTCCGAGCCGAGGTCTCCAGCAAGCCCCGGCAGCGCGCACTTTGCGCCTCTTGCAAAGTTTCCGCGCGGGGCTAAGCCAGCGTGCAGTGGGACGCGGGCTCTTACCATAGACTCCCTGTCCCCGGCAGTGGAAGGGGATCAGCGCCAGGAGCAGAAGGCAGGTCACCTCCATCTTCACGGCCGGTGCTTCATCCCCGCGAGGCGGCGCAGCCCGAGACGCGGCGACCCGCGACGCCCACTGTGTCTCCCTCTTTCCCCGAGAGGCGACGGAGACCAGGAGACGGAGGAGGAGAAGGCGGCGGCGGCGACCCCGGTTTCTCCTCTGGCAGGGCTGCTGCCCGCGCGGGGACGCAGGGGGCGCTGGCCCGGCCCCGAGTGCCGCGAAGCGCCCGGCGCAGCAGCCAGCGCCCAGGCGCGAGGAGCCGGGCCGCCGAGCCGCCCCGGGTCCCCAGAGCTGGCCGCTGGGGTTGCTGGGCGCGGGGGACCTCTCCGCTGCGGCGGCGGCTCTTCGGTCCAACAGGCCACCGACGACTGGCAAACTTGCCTCCCCGCCCAGGGGACGTCCCTCCGCCGAGCGGGGGCGGGGAGGCCGGGACTCCGCCGGGGTTAATCCGCTGTCTCCAGTCCTGCGCGCGACGCCGAGCGCTCAGCGGCCCGACCCAAGGAGGCCGCGCTGGGCACCCTCCCGGCGACCACGGAGCCCCAGCGCAGGGCCTCCCGAGCCTGGCAGCAGCGCGGGCTGGGTTCGGCCGCTAGGCGAGCGCCACCGGTGCCGGGGTCCGCGAAGTTAGCCGAGCCACCGAGGAACCTGGCGCTCCCGCGGGAATCCGCAGAGCAATTCCAGGCACAAGGGACCCCAGACAGCGGGGGGAAGGAAAGTTTGAGTCGTGTGAAAAACAGTCGCGCTTTTGCCGAGGCCGGGGCTGCAGCGCGGGCGCCGCTGGCCGCCGGCCGCCGGCCGCCTCCGCTCGCTCGCCGCGCTCGGCTCTAGTCGTCTGGCCGCGGCCGCCACACTCCCCGGCTCCGAGCTCTCCAGAGAGCGGGGCTGCGCCGCGCCCCAACTTGGTCGTCCCCGCCCCCGCCCTGCGGGCTCGGCCGGCGGGGGCCCCGAGCGGGCGGGCGGGCGGGGCCGGGCCGGGCTCCGGGGCGCGGCGGCCGCTCGGCTCAAGGCCGCGGGAGCGCTCCGCTCGCTCGGCAACTTGGTCTTCGCTGTGCTGCTTTTGCGCCCCTCGGAGCTTTTCATTCCGCCTTCCCCCGCCTCCTTCCTCCCTCTCTCTCCTCCCTCCCTCCCTCTCCTCCCCTCCCCGTTCGGTGTCTCGCTCTCCCACCCTTTGTCGTTCGCTCTTGGGTTTGATTCCCCTCCAGTTAAAAAAAGGAGCCAATTAAAGGCAGCCCAGCTCGCCGGGCCCAGCCTCTGTCCAATTTCCTCGCCTCCCCCAGGACCAATTAGAGAAAACAAAACAGGGCTAGGGGAAGCAATCTCTTTCTCTCCCCCCCTCCCCCTCTCCCCCTCTCCCCCTCGCTCCCTCTCTCTCCCCTCCCCCCTCCCCTTCTCCCCACTCCCCCTAGCCCCCAGCAGGAAAATGTCAGAAAACAGAAATGGATCCATCTATCCCAGGGACAGCGGCGGAGGGACGCGGGTCTCGGCGCGGGCTCGGGAGCCTCACGCTCGCTCGCTCGCTCTGCGCCCGCTCTTGCTCATCCAGCCTGGCTGCCCGAGCTGGGCGCAGCGATCGCAGCGCGCTCGCCGGGCAAGCTCGGCCGCTCACCCCGGAGACCCACGCCTGCAGGACACTGCACACTTCATCAGTGTTTTCGCACTTTGGGGAGGCGGGATCGGGGCGCGGATCGGAGGGAAAGTCCCGGGCGTCTGCGGCTCCCGGGGTCCTGCAGGCGGGAGATGCAGCCGCCTGCCTAGGGCTGCAGGGCTGTGTGCTTGGCTCCGGAGTCCCCCATCCCACCCTGCCCCCGGCCGAGCCTTCGCCCTTTTCCGGGTCGCCTCGGCCTCTCCGCCGTCTCACGCGCGGGCCATGGCCAGAGAGGGCGCGCTTTGAGCTGTGCCCTTGCCGCGGCCCACAGGTTGCCAACAGGTTTGCCCGCGGACCCCTTTAGCGCCGCTACCCGGGGCCACACCAGTCTCCTCCGCTCGCCTCTCTTCCCAGCCCGCCTCCCCCAGGACCGAAGGCGGCCCCAAGGCCCCAGGGGCGCGCGCCCTCCGGCCGCAGAACCCGGCCCCGCCGAGGCCGCGCCACTCCGGGGCTCCAGGGTTCCGCTGCCTCGGCCCGGCCCTCGCGACGCCGCGGTGGGGACCGCGCAGCTCGCGAACGCCCGGGGGAGGGGCGTGGGTTCCCCCCGGCCTTCGATGGCGCCCCCCATCCGGGTCCCGCTAATCTCACCTGCTCCACCTGTCGCCGTTATTTATCTCGGCGTGTGCGCGGGGATTGGGTTAGCGCGGCCCGTGGGAGCGCGGACGACCGCGGCAGCTGTGAGAAGCCGGGAGATTGCAAACGCCCCCTCCATCCCTCGGCGGAACTGTTCCGGATCTTGACTGCGATGGTGCTTGCCTTTCTCAAAACTCCAAGCCCTATACACCAAAAAAGTTAATTTTTCTGGATGTAAATTAAAACATAAACTTAAAATATTAATAATAAGCCCCTCCTTCCCCTGGCCCATTTCCTTCTGGGCACCTCCCCTGTGCCCCTCCGCCAGGAAGTGGGAAGCCAGGGGACAGGCCTGGCGGCTGGTGAGGAGCGCCAAGAACCGACACCATTGCTGCTCTCTGCCCATCTCGGGGAGTCCCAGAGCCCCGGAAGACTTCTCCGGGCTGCCCACACCTGTTCAGGCCGCGTCGTCCCCTCCTTCTCTTCTCCCCCGTCCTGTATCCAAGGCTGAGAAAGGAGCTCCAATCCAAGCTTCGCACCGCGCGCACAGTGGATGCTAGCTGAAGATTGACCGAATTAATGAATGACACTCATCATAGGCCGGTTGCCACAGACCTAGGACACCCTCAGCGTGGCCATCCTTTCCATTCTCCTGGTGCCTGGCGGGGGGGGGGCATCATTTTCTGCTTCACAGCAATGCAAAGCTCTCTGCTTCTTCCCACCCAGTCTGACAAGGCAGTGGTGCCAACTGAGGATGCGGTGATGAGAGGCTTCATTCATTGTCATCTTCCCATTACTGAAAGCTTTCTAGGAACCCCCCCCCCCGGGAGGCCGCAGGAGTGATGTGGTGATTCTGGCTTTTCCTGGCTTTGCCTGTCTGAGCTGACGAGCATCTCGAGGGAAACCACCTTCCGTTTTTCCATACAGAGAATTGCTCCTTTTGGGGGTTGGGGTGAGTTATCAGGGACAGGGACCCCCACCAGCTCACCCTGACGTCTCTGGAGTTTGCCCTGTCTGAACACAAGCTGGAGAGAGACTCAGAATGCAGGAGGCCCCGGGAGGGCAGGGAGCAGAAGTGCAGATTGGAGCCAGGCTGGGATTGAACATTTGCTGTCGCTAATCCACTTGTGAATACTCTGCAGCTAATTGTATGCAGTGTAAAGACCTTGACAGCCTGTGTGTGTGCGCCAGCGCCTGTAAGTTCAGTCACTTCCTCCCCAAGTGCACCCTGCCTGCTGTCCAGTGTCTGACAATGGCAGCCCACCACTCACCGCTGAGGAGCCAGAGCGCACCAGACTCCGAGCCATCAGCCCTGGGGTCCCACCATAACCTCCCCAGGCCTCAGTTTCCCCAGATGTACAGTAGCAGGATGCCAGCCTTGAAGAATGGCCGAGAGAAGTAAGGAGGGTGGGAGCTGACAACACACACCGGGCACTCGTATGTGTACCAACTGTCTAATTCACGTGACTCACACAGCTGCTGCGAGGCCAAAGAGGGCCTTGGCGGCCAACTGCTGCAGACTGAAGGGATGTGAGGACCTGGCTGTCCGGTTTTCACAAGGAGTGGTTCCGGTTCTTGTCACACTCAGCACAAAACAAGGCCGAGTGGGTTGGGAGCATGAGATGTAACCCCAAGAGCTGAGGGGCTCATCAAGGGAGCCCCAGGGCCCAAGAGTCAACTGAGAGCCAGCTGCCCAGAGATAGGAAAGCCCCATGCTCTGGCCTCAGAGAAAGCTCAGGGTTTGGGCCCCAGGGAACCCAAGGGGGTGTGTGACAGGTGAGGGGCACAGGAGCCCCAGGCCTCAGTCAAACAGGGCAGCATCGGCTTTGTCTGCAACCCTGTGTTTTTAGGAAGCTCTTCCACATCCTCCTGCCCCTTGCTGTCCTCCTGTGAGTCAGAGCTGGGAAGAGGAACCAGGCAGTGAGCTGGAGGAGGTCCTCACTGGCAGGATGGTGTCATCGCCTGCCTCTCTGGGGAGATCTTCTCTGAAAATCACACAGTGGCAGGTATTGATTGAATCGCAGAGCAAGACACTCTTGCGGGGGGGCTGGCTGGGCGGGGATGAGGAACCTGGAGAGTTATGACCCCACTGAAAGACCAGTTTATTAATGCGGGCTCTAACAAATAGCCAATTAATGGCTCCGGTTGCTAATTAGTAAGCAGTTAATTCCTGTTATAAATTGTGCTGCTCAAGACTAGTGATAAGGCAATCCGAGCAGTGACACTCTTTGAAGGGGGGAGAGTCTGTACTCCCCACCACTCCTTCCTCACCCCATACCCAGGCAGGCCCTCTGCTGGCGAAATGCAGGCCGCATCCTCCATTCATTGATTTTACAAATATTAAATCAGCACCTACTACATGCCAGGCACTGCTGGAGACACTGCATACTCAATACGAACAAAACAGACAAGAGCCCTGCTTTGTGGAGGTGATAGTCTAGAAAGAGATGATAGACTACATGAATAAGAAAAATAAATACCATTTCTACAATAAGGAATATTAGAATTCTAAAGCTAGGAAGAGGAATAGGAAGTATGAAAGCCAAAATGTTAGGCCATCCATCGAAGACCTGACATTGGAGTCATGGTCTTAAAGAGGAAGGGGATTGAACTGTGCCAGATTTGGGGGGAAGAACCTTGCAGGGGGAGGAATAGCACCCAGACTGCCGGACATCCTTCGTGCCTCAGGGGTCACTGCAGGACACAGTTGTGCTCTGAACTGACAGGCGATGTGGTGACACGGCACACCTGGCAGCTCTGCGCTATGTGGGTAGATTACAGGGGTGCCACAGTATCCCAGCACCTGGCACTCAATAAATGCTTGTTATATGACTGATGAATAGTGACGGGCTAGACTGTGAGGCTGGAGCCATCTCTGCGTTTGAAGGGCTAATCCAGTTGGGTTCTCTCCTAAGCCACGTTCAGCC